AGCCATCTGTATATAGTTCTAATTTGCAAGTCTTGTCTCTTCAGTTTAAATTCCTTTCTTTTAAAATAGATATTTCTTGAGAGCGAGGAATATAGTGGATTTTCAGTTCAACCTCTTCCCTAAGAAGAAGCTGGAAGAACTAATGCTTCATGGGAAAAAGGGACCAAATTCCTTTCTTTTAAAATAGATATTTCTTGAGAGCGAGGAATATAGTGGATTTTCAGTTCAACCTCTTCCCTAAGAAGAAGCCGGAAGAACTCATGCTTCATGGGAGAAAAGGGACCAAGCATCCCAAAGCTGTTTCTCTTCTCAAAAGCTGCTAGCAGCTCCTAGCCATTACAGCACTGTGCAAGAAGCTACTGCTATTGTGGCAGGATGAGCCCAGCCTTCAAACATCTCTGCTGAGTTACTATTTTGACATAGAAGAGGATTGGAAAACAAACAGATTTTCTTCTTAATTAAAAAAAAATACTAGTTTAATAAAAAAACCACAAGCTAGGGCTTGTTTTAATCTCACCAAAAGCTATAAGATATTTCACAGGACAAAGAAAAAGCCTTTCCTTACTGTCAGGCATTGATACAGACAACAGAAAGAGGCATTAGCACTTCCTAAAACAAACAGAAAAAAGTAGTTTGGCAATCTCTTATCTGGGGGAAATAGTACAGAACTGAAATAGACTTCACCCTAGAACAGACACAGGAAAAATAGACAGGCTTTTTTAAAATTACTGTTGTTAGAATTATACCTCTGAGACAGTGTTTCTTTCTTACCATCAGTGTGTTTTTTTATCTAGGGAATATTAAAATGCCAGTAGTACCAACCTTGGTTAATACAAGCTGAAATGAAAGCAATAAGGAAGATACAGACAATAATATATTTCTTTGCTTGTCATTCAGCTGTTTCCCAGCATCAGTACTCTGAAAAAAAATGAAATTGCTTTACTCTTCCAAACTGAGAGAACAGTGTTACGCTTTTAACGGTTCCCTGAGGCCATCTGCCAATGAGTAAAATATATTGTGTGTATAGTACATTATAGCCTTAACTGCTTTATAAACAAATTATTTCTTAACGTGTAGTTCTTTTCAGAAGTAACAGTCTTAATTTGCAGACAGTGGACACTGAGGTATCTGCATAGTTTCTACACTGACTCAAGAGTAGATTTCAGGACTTGAAATCGTTCATCTAGAGAATTTACTCCATACACCTCTTACCAGTCACAGAAATTATCATGCAAAATAGGGAAGAAAAAAAGAAAAAAAAGTTTCTCTACTTGCTTTTTATATGATCCTGGAAAGTAAAGGCTTCTTCAGGATCAAAGCTCAGCAAGTTGGTGATGATAATCTGCCTGGTAATGTCCTAGTAGAAATTCTTGGAGAGTTTTATGAAGAGGAGGCTTGGGGTTCAGACCCCAATTCGTGTTATTCATGTACAAGAATCTGCATAGTAAAAGGGTTGCTATTTACAATGTGATTGTGTGTTAAATGGTTTCTGGATATGTAGCATACTGCTTTGTGCCAGTATTGAGGCTCTAGATTTGAGTGCAGTGGTCCATGTTCACCAAATGAAAAGTATTGTTCTCACTTGAGCAAACAGGATTTCTACGCTGGAAACACGACTGAACCAAAAGTAGATATTAGCATCTAACAAGGGAGTTGTGGGTGACTATCTCATTAAGTAAAGCCAGAATTTGGGTGGTGGTTTTCTTCCTTTTTGTGTTATGTAACACCATTTAATTTTGGTTGTTTTCTCCCTCCAAAATAAGTATTTCCTAAGACAGAAAAAAAGGCAATATCTTGATGTTTCTGCATGGTAGCAGACAGTAACTCAGTATGAGTGGGGAGCAGACACATTTTGGAAGTGAAAAGATGTTTGTGGGAAGACAAGGATGTGAGGTGTAAAGGAAAAGTGTATGGGAAAGGACTGACATTTAAAGATACTGTGATTAGGACAAGGTTAGGTTCTAGTTAAACGAAGCTAAAATACATTAACCTGCATCTGATCCAAAGGAAAAAAGTCAGAATTAAATTGAGTTTAACAAATGCTGACCTGACCTTGGCTCTTTCTTCATAATCTATGCAATATTTCTTTCCTACGGATTAGGAATTATTCTGTACTGTTGTTTTGCCTTATTTTGACGGAGGTGTCTCTGGTAATTACTAGAAGTTCATCAAGCAATGCAAGCTAATGAGAGGTTAAATTTTGTATTACGTAAGCAGAAAACAGTGAGAGATTTTTCAGATGGATCTTCTTCTCTTTGAGCACCTCTAGTGAAGTATCTCCAAGAAAAATATCCTCACGGTGAACTTCCTAGAAGGCAGCAGTAGTGTAGAGCCTGCCAGGATGGAGCTGTAGAGTTAATTTATGATTACAGTAGCCATCTAGTCCCACCTCCTGCTCAAAGCAGGGCTAATCTCAAAGCAAACAGCAAAACGGAAAAAGTAAATGAGTTCCTCGGTCTCTTTCACCAGTGCAAAACTATTTTTGTGTTAGAGTCGCCTATAATTAAAACTGCAAAATCCACAGAACAGGAAAACGCTAAGAGACTGCATTGGCAGTGTAATAAATCAATGTCAATGGAATTTGACAAGTGTATTTGGAAACTGGATTCAGTACTGCCGTAGGTTTTATAATGTTAGTTCATTGGGTTCTGAAAATAAAAGAAAAAAAAAACAGATGAAAGAAAGAGAATATGACTTTAAATAATAGATATTCCTGCTTATATTATTTCTTCTACTGAAGCGTTAGTGAGTATATGCCATCCACGCCACATGAAATAGATGATGTTTTGGCTGCTCGGAAAGGGCATACCTTTAGGATGGTAGTCGGTGTCACTGGTAGGAGTGCCAGTGTATAACACAGCAAAGACATGTACCATTGTACCAACAGGTAGGTAACAAACGACAAAACAAGGCTTACCAGAGAGTCGAGTGTTTGGCTGGAATGTACACGCAGACACGATGGCTCCTACGCAGCTTTTTCACAAAGCTTTCACGCTGAATCCACTACAAAACTAGACTTTACCACTCTGGCGCGGGGGCTTGGCAACAAAGCTCCTACATAACAGCCCTACCTTCAGTACGGTAGTGAACATGCTTGAGAGGACTAGAAACTGGACCCATACCTTCCAGCAGTCCTCCCCGGGTTGCCAAATTAATGGTCGCCTAAGCAAACGCACCTCTGTGCACCTGCGGACTCATAACCACGTATCACTGCGGGCGTTGGGCAAGTACACGTGCGAATCAAGAGCGTAATTTTCTAACGCTTTGTAATAACTACCTATTGCTGATATGTAAAATGCCTACATGTAAAGTCCCAGTGGAAAGGAAGACAAATTTTTGTCTGCATAATTAACTGTAACATGTTTAGGACATTACATAACTACCACATTATATTGCTAGAGGGTACCGCTAATACTTTATAGCTTAGAAATTTTTATAACTGCTTCTTAAAAGTTAGCCAGCCATACAATGCAGATGACAGTGGCATATCCTGATAGTTGATGCTGTCAGGCAGAGAAATATTTTTCCTAAAATTGCAAAAATGTTGGAAAATATGTTTTTAAGTTCATATAAAGATGCCATTAAACTATTTAAAAGGGCAAAAAGCTTTCTTTTTCAGTGGGGTTTTTTTGGTTTACAATGGGAGGTCTGGCTGGATCTTTCCATCTGCTGTGATGGCTGTTACTGCAGATGGTCATAATCTGTACATATGGTATGTGCATACATAAACTGAAATCAGTGTTGTCGTGGGGTAAAAGCAGGCACACAACAGGAGCTCGGATGCCTAACACAAGAATATCAGTGAAGGGGATAATATAGAGCATTTTATTTTTCTAGGGGAAATTTACATAAAATTAGGGAAAGAAGCATTTACTGTTTGCTGGAAAAGGAAAAAAAAAAAAAGAAATCACAGCTCTTAGAAGATAAATTCTGGATCTGCAGTTTGGAATCAGGTGTTGGCTTCAGCTCAGCCCTGAATCTGTGCCAGGTTTTGGTTTAAATCAAGACAACACCAAACTCTCACAAACTTCTAAAGAGATATCCGCAGCGCTCAGAAGTAGGACAGTCAGCCTGGCTTTGGAGTTCCTGCTTCTAACTCGGAAATAAAGCTGGAGGAGGGATTTTCTTATTTCTGAAAATTAGAAAATGGCCTTCCAGTCACGTAAAAAAATAAATGTCTTCAGAAATGAAATGGTCTTTAGATCTGAAGTTTCTGTTTAAGTCAATCTCACGACCATTAAATGGTTGCTGAAACTCATAATGATCAAAGAAGGGGCAAAAGACCTTGTCGTTAAAAGTAGTACTTTCCAGTGAATCACATGTAAACTTACTAGATAGTAAGCTGTTCTACCACCTGTTGTAGTGCCCGGTTAGCACTGCTGAAAACTTCTGCTTGCATATTGGCTCATGAACCACGGTTAAAAAAAAATATTTCCATAAAGTCTTAAACTTCTACTTAGGAAGCTTGGAAAGTTAGGAAAAATACTACAATATTTATGTGTTGTGGAGAGAACTCTAAAAGCAACTCACAATTTCTACATATATCAACGCCTGCACTTATGAAACATTTAGCAACAAGTGCCTGAAAAGAAGAAATCATTGGAAAAGCAAGACGTGAAGAGTTTATCTGATATACGATCACATGCATTTTTAACATTTCCTCTATCCAGTTTATTTATTTTTTATTTTTATTTTATTATTTATTTTTATTTTATTTTATTCTATTTACAGTATATTTATTTTTATTACATTTGCCCATTCGTCAGACAAGCTAATTGTCAGAGCAGATAAAGTCATGACTCTTAACTTTCCTTTTTTTTCCTTTCTTATTATCTACTCTGCTATCCTCTTTGCTAACCTTTCAGCCTTTCTTGTACTAGGAAAAGGCTTCACATATTCAGCTACAAGGCTAGAAAAGGAGCATATATTGACTTTAAAAGGGTTGCTGCCATTCTAATATGACTTTATAAGCTTCTGTTTCTTTTTCTCTCTTATTACAGGTTTGTTTTGTGAATTTAGATGCAAACAGAGATGATTGCAGCGATGAGCAAGTGAAACAGGTAACAGTTTAGGTCTTAATAACATGCACAGTGGGTCTAGTCAGGTACACCAGGACTCTCCAATACAAACCCAGATCACAATTCTAAGGACAAATTGAAGCCAGCCCTAGATTTTTCACCCTTACAGAGAGCAATGCCTCAGGAATCTGAAATTATCTCAACACCAGGCCCTATTTTATAGCTTTTCTTACTCCCATCCCAGAAATACCTAATGGATTGTTGCAGCCTGTGAATTCACAACAGTTATCATGCGAGTGGATGTCTTGCTCAGCCTTGGTTTTATCAGAGAAGTGGACATGGATATGTCATACATCCAATTTTTTAATTTGACATAATACTACATAAAATTAATTTCTGATGTCTCTCTTTTCTACTGCCAAAAAGCCTTTGAGAATCTCCTACTCATTTAAATCTTGTTCAGGTGACCAGTCTTACTCAGTCAAAGTCCAGATAGTTTGATTATGTGGTCTTGAGGAGGGGTCTAGACAAAACAGAACTAAAGGTGTGTTTTACCTGTTTCACTGAAAGTTTGGAGGGTAGAAAAAAGGGGTTAAAAAAAAAAAAAAGAAGAAAGCTTGGTTATTTTACAAACACTAAGACAAACTACATCACGATACGCTATTTAAAATACGTACCATTCCTAAAAAGCCCTCAAATCTGAGGAAGTCACATTTTAAAGATGTGGCCTGGTGTCAGTTTTGAGTTTACATCTTCCTTTATCAGTTCATTTTCATCATCCTGGTTTGGTGCCTATGATCGACACAGCAATATGGCAGCAATATGTGGTAAGTGAACAAAGGTGGGATCTCCTGACAATATCCAGGGAGTTCCTCAGTAAAGCATTACGGTTAGTTTGCCGAAACCACTTTTAGCTCATGGGAGGACAACCAATGCTGGGGCCTTGTTGCCTCCTGCAAGTCGTTCATTAGCAGGAACTGTTTTTCTATGCTGTTTTCTGCATCTTGGATCTGTGAAAATTCAGATGTCAAAAATAAATACGGCTTCTTGCAGCAAAATGATTTTTCTGTTGAATCAGCAGGTTAACTGTGCAGAACAGCTTGAGAGGTTCAACTTTACTGAATCCACAGAAGCACTGGTTGTTTTCTAATAAGCAATGGTTTTATTGTTGTTTACAGTGTTTATTAAGGAACAAAAGCTGTAGCAAGTCATAAGGAAATACCAAAAGTTTCTCCCTCAATCTTAGAGCTAGATATCTGTAAAAGCCAACTTAAACTAGCTTTATGCAGCTACCCTTTACAGAGCCTGGCGATTAGATTACTCCCTCACAAGCACAAATCACCTTTGAAAGCAGCTGCATGATTTTTACCCGTCAGCCCTGCAGCAGCGGTGCATTCACTGCCCACGCGCTTCGCCTAGCCCTAAGCTCTTCCTTCGCAGCAGAGCCCGGTCAGCTCCCCGAAGTGCTGCACCCCGACATGCTCACAGCTGGCCCTCCCCGCCTGGCACGCGGCGGGACCGGTAACGGAGAGACCGCCACGTTTGGCCGCATTTTAGAAAGGTAGTTTCTGGTGCAGAGTCAACATGTTTATTAGCTGTGACTGGGTGATGACACTTTTCTTTTAGTTTTCAGTGTAGGTAATAAAAATTCACTGCTAGCACAGGTACTGTGTATTCTTCTAAGAGGAAACTCGCTCATGACAATTTTTGTGTATAATATCCAGTTTGTGTAAATTAGCTTTGAGTGGGGTGGATTTTTATACAACACACTGATGTGGTGAAAGGATTTCATAGAAGAATTTTAAAGGCGTTAGCATAGCTGTTGTTCATATGAAATGTATAACTAATAGGTACTGTTAGGATTTTGCATTACCCTTTGAACCTTGGAATGGGTTAAATTGGGGTTTTTTGGTGTAAAATAATCATCTTTCCAGACTTTTCCTTTTTTATTCTGAACAAAAGGTAAGGAACTGAAGTAAAAGATACACAAAATGCCATGATTTCCTACCAAAGAAATCTGATAAAATGTGGCAATTTAGGCAGTAGAAAAAGAGAGATACATAGAGAAATGTGTGTGATAACAGAAAGGTTATAATTTGAGAAAAGAAAAGGATGAGAACTTTTTTGTACTATACTAAAATGTCAAACTGAATTGAAGCACTGAATTTAGTTATGTCAAATATAAATACTTAGCCTCATCTGAAGATCAGTCTACAGAAAAGTGAATTGTTCCCCAAAATTGAATTAGATTTGCTAAGCCAGAAAGTTTTATTATATCTAATTCAGTACTAATAACAGTACTGCAAGCTTATTATTTTGAAGATGAAAAGGAAAAAGTGAAGTATCGTTGAATTGCATAGTAACTAAAGTGTACAGCTGGGTGCCCAAGATCTGCATTCCCTTAATGGCTTTGCCATTTGATGGGCTGTGTCAGTGCATAAAATGGAGGTGGTATTTACTCCCCCTGTAAGAGGTCATCCTTGATTCCCTGTTCCTAAAGCAAGCACACTGAGATCCTTGGCAGAAAAGAACCGCAAGCATTCTTAGAGTAGGTGTTGTCCTTTTGGTCTGGCCTTTGTACGCGAATGAGCACAGATGTCTCCTGCACATCACTGGGGACTCCTAGCAGTACTGCGATACAGATCTATGTTACACGGCATCACTGGTGTTGTGACTATTACCGCTTTGGGCTCTGGCAAATACATAACAGGTAGAAAATGATTGTATCATTACAAATGAAAGGTCATGAAGGTGTCCAGTGGAACAGCAAAGAAATGCATATTTCATCTGCGTATTAAATCCTTCCGTTATTCCAGGTTTAGTATTGCATCAATTTGATGAGCAATTTCCAGCTAACTTTCCCTTTGGTTTCTTGCTTGTCCTATCTATGCCTGGAGGAAAACTGGAAGATTTGCCCTGTTCTCATTACCGTACTTACTGAATCTTTTCTGGTGTAGACAGTAACAGGCAGTGTTCTCAGCCTCTTAGGAACTCACTCGTAATAGGGAGGCCAAGCATTTAGATGCACAAATACAGTCAAGCTGTTCAGCGCATGACGATGTAAGGGATGACAGATTGTCCCGCTGGACAGTTGTGCAGAAGTTTATACTGTCACCATTGTCTTGCCTAGTGGCTCAAAGGAAAGTATGTGCATTTTAATGCTGCCAGTTCTATTTTTAATCGACCCAAAGTAGTAAGTTCAAGTAAACTTTCTAAAGGGATGCCTATAAGTGGTGTTTCATTTTGGTATTTAGTAATATAACTGTGCAACTCAGACTTCATTACCTGAGAGCAAAATCTGTCTTTCATACTACAGAGATTAATCAGCGTCTCTCCAAATCTCCCCAAACTCATCAGTTCGATGAACGTACAGCCACCAAAGGAAAATGAAATAGTCCTGCTGAGTGGATTAGCATCAGGAAACCTTCAGGCCGATTATGAAGTTCCCCAGGTAGGAAGCAAACTCATCTTTAAGATCACATCACACCTGTGAAGGATGGAATTTGGAAAATGGAAAAAAGGAAGGTGAAAGCAAAGACCTTGCACCAGTTTAAGAGATGAGTGGGAGTTTGCAAACATAAAAAAATGAATCTGTCTAACAAAAGTCTGTTAAGTGTGTGTGGTGGGGGGGTGACACAAAGATAGGAGAGAGCTCCTGCATTCACTCTAGATCCTGTGGATGTCTGGGTTGCAGCTGATAATGCTTTAAGCCATGTTAGCGGTTGATCCTTCAGGGGAGGCAGGCATTGGCGGCAGAGATGATTCGTAAGCCCAGATTTCAAGAGTAGCAGGAGTCAGAGGGGCAGCACAGAGCAGGGAAAGGAAAGATGTAACACTTTTTCTGTGCACGTAGCTAGATCAGGGCACAGCTCCTACAGACTCCCTTTCAAGTGAAGTCTTGCTACTTCCCACTTTTGTTCCCAATCCATCTCCCACGCGTGCACCTCAGAAAAGAGCTGACGATAGGACTTGAAGATCCTAGAGGCTACTGTAAGCCTGAATGTGGCGATGGAAAATACCAAGCTACATTAACCATATCAGAGCTGATACCCCATTTAGCTTCCGTCAACTTAAAAAGTAATTAATGCATTAATTAAAACTTAACATTTAAAGGAGCTAAAGGCAAAAATTCTCGTGCTAACTCCTCCACTCCCATTATTGCCAATGAAACGTTCCCTATCTGTGATCTGGAGGCCGAGAATTCCTCTCACTGGCACCAAATAGAGAAAGGAAGCAAACAATAACATTTGCTGAAAGGCATTTTAATACACAAGAAGCTTAACTCCTTATTGTAATAAAAAGCTTTTTCTTCCTTTCCATTTTTATCATACTTTATGCCTGTTCATGTCTGTGTAAAGAAAGAGAATGAAAAATACTTCAGTATTCTTCACCCTGATTCTGATCTCATTCGGCCAAGCATGAATTTGGAACAGCTTCATTAAAGCCGCAGAGTTATCCTGGAGTACAAAACTGTCTCAGCAAACTTAAAACATGAACAGGTATCTCCAGTTTTATCTGCTGCAGGGAAAAAAAAAAAAAAAGCAGAAAACTTTTTTTCACTGAAATTAACTTGTGTACAAAAGTCTTCATGAAGCAGACCCTGCAACAGCTGTATTGCAAAAATCATTGAATTTTTTCTTATACCAATAAGCTGATCTTTAAAGAGAGAAATTGCCTGGTTATTGAGCATTCTTGCTGCTTGTGACTAATGGCTGAATTTAGAAAGATTTAAAAAAAAATAAGAGCACAAGCCTGTGGTGGGAGCAGTGGAGTTCCAAACCCCACTTCCCCGGGGGGAAGCCGCTGCAATACACACAAGGGTGTTTCGAGGCCCGAACAAGATGACTCAAGCACCCAAGTCATCCCCATCTCCGAAAGACTGCAGCCACTGAGACTGGCAGCCTTCTCAGAGAGAGTGCAGGCAAGAGACAAATGAGCACTAACCTAAATTGCTGTCTTGTAGGATGAGTAAAGCTCTGCATTGAGACTGGGTGAGATTTATTGGCCAGATAAGCACGAGCTGTGTTCATCCTTACATTCGTTTGGCTTTTGAGAGAATTCCGTTTGTAAGGAGGCTCGCGTAGTTTCCATACAAGGATTTTTATACTGTTCCCCCTCAGCCCTTTTCACAAGTACGACTCTGCAAACTGGGGGCTGGAGAAACAGCAGGGCAATGTTTGATTTAAGGCTGCATCTGTTTTTAATAATGTTTTTCACAATATGGTGTGTGCTCAAGTCTGATTCAGCAACAATTTCTTAGCAGCTAGTTCAAAAAAAAAATCTATCTTTTCTGTTTTAACACACTAATTTGTCCGGTTTTCCATTCAGACACACTTTTTAGGTGGAAAGGAAGAGCAGGCTAATAAAACATGCTATTCCAACGTAACACTCATCCCGCTCCCTTTATTACTAGGCATTTGCTTTGCATTCCCACTCAAAGACAAAAGATCTAGGATGGGGTTACTTTCTGCTAGATACTGCGCAAATGCACAGGGGGTCCAGGGCATCTTTTGCACAGCTTAAAATCTACCGCCTCAATCCAGAGCTGGTTCCACTCAAGCTGGCTCCTTCCTGGGGGCCTGGAGTTAAAGCACAAGATCACAAGCTGCAAAAGCTTGGCTTTGCTTCAGAGTACATCCGTACCGCAAACGTAGTCCCATGCAGAGATATCACCTTAGCTCTGTGGTTGTATAAATATCCAACAGTTTTAACAGCAGTAAAATGAGGATAACCAGAGTTCCCCTCTCTCAGTTTCTGTCCAACTTTCAAGTTAATTGTACGGCTTCTCTGGGTAAGACCGTTTTATAGAAAGGCTCAGCACGGTGCGCACTGGAGCGCCATTTCCAGTGGGAGGTTACACTGGTCTGAAATAATGGGGCTTTGGGCAAATAAGGAGCGAGGGGAAGAAGAGCAAAGAAACAAAATAAAAACAGTACTTTAAAACAGTCTGCAGGAACATCTAAAGGTGACCCGCTCTTAACAATCTCGCCAGCCAGTATTTACAGGGCTGCCTTCAAACAAGCGTTGCGACAGAAATTATCCTGAAAAGGAATTCATACCCACAAACAATTCCCTCAAGAGGCAGGTAATACTGGGTGGTGCGAGGCCATTAATAACAGTATGTCAGATGGCTAACTCTGACATGGCTAAAAGCAAGTAAGTCTCTGTCGTTAAAACAAGGAGTTGATTGAAAACAAACAACTTGGTGATTTCAACAAAATAAAGATGCCCCTGTGATACGGCTGGGTTCTCTACTAAAACGCCCGTATAACAAAAGCTGTCAGTCCAAGCGGTCTTATTTTGGCATATATGTAACCGCATACCGTGTTACAAACATCTAAATAACAAATTGTATTGCATCTCTGCAACAGAACATTCCTGAGATATTTATAGAGAGGGAAGCTTAAAATGAGTTTTATTTTTTAATTAAATAACTATTTTAGATTCTTTTCCCCTCTAGTGTCCTTGGCTGGCAGATGTCTGCTTGGTTCAGTGTGCGAGGGGGGACAGGAAAAATAGCGCAAGCTGCATCATTTTTGAAATAAACAAGTTTCTGATTGGACTTGAGCTCGTTCAGGAGAGACAGCTGCAGACAGAAGCTCATGTCTTAAAGCCCGAGGATGACACAAACTGCTCGGTGTCCTCAATAGAAGAAGATTTCCTCACAGCGTCTGAGCACCTCGAGGACGACAACGAGGCTGATGAATATAAAACTGGTAAAAGCAACGCAACTGAGCATAATTCTGCTATCGTTCGTACTGCAAAACAGCCATGGCAATGCTCACAGAAACTGCACTTGATGTTAATTCATGCATATATTTATTTGTAATTTAGAAAACGGACAGCCATTCGTATTTTTAAATTGTTGTTCAAAGACAAGGATACATGGTTGTGCAGTAGTTTTACAGAGCAGTAATGCGTTACACGGTTGTGCAGCTGTTTTCTTCTTAAAGTTACAGGGTACTCTGCAAAAACTAGTTTCCTATTTTTCTTTTGATAGGTCATGAAAAAGTAAGTGCTTCAGAAGCATCTTCAGATGTCAAAAAAAATAAAGGAAAGGGATTTGAAAACCTCCACTACAGAAAAGCCAGGTTACCGTTCATTCTTGAAGGGAACTGCATTAGTAAAGATAATGCAGCTACTAGAGTCTCTGAAGCTGTGAATATTGTGGCTGAAGATGGCATCTTACAACCTGAAGATAAGTCAGACCAGGAAATACTGTGGCAGAAGGAATTAGCTGGCAGAGCTACTTCATCCTTTAGTACCACTAATTTGACTAGTGAGGTTGAAAATTCCTGCTCAGCGCACGTGTTAGAAGATGTATCTTTAGCCAAAATGGCTAAAGAGGAGCTGGGGCCTCTGTATGACCCAACAGCGAAACACAACGGTAAGACAGACGGAGAGGATTCTGCAGGTATCAGGAAAACCGATCCTCCCTCGCAAAACGAGCAGGCAACTACAGGTCAGTATGCCACAAATTTAGCAGAATCTGTTCTGCAAGATGCGTTCATTAGACTGTCACAGTCTCAACCCACTTTTAGTGAGGAGGCTGCAGTCAGCATCTCCGTAGGAAGCTCCTGTAAGTCAGAAGACGCATCTGCTTCCCGATCGTGGAATGAACTTCCAAAGATCGTCATAGTGCAAAGTCCAGACAGTTCTGAGAATGTATCTGACTGGCCAGGGTCTGCCTTCCCCAACCTGTGCCACTGGACTGAATCAGAAAGTTCTGCTGAAGTTTTGGATTACTTTGAGGAAGAACATTCAAACGGACACGGCCAGAGCGCGCTGGAAGTGGCTCTGGCTTGTGCAGCCACTGTTATTGGAACCATTTCCAGTCCCCAGGCTGCAGAAAAATTCAGACGGGATCAAGAAGCCACAGACTCTAAAAGCGGAGTGGTTGATAATGAAGAGCTGCACACAGCATCTTCACAGCTGCTTGATGACTGTGCTGGCACAGAATATTCATTTCCATCTGCGCTGTGTGGCATGACTCAAGTAGCAAGCGCTGTAGCCGTCTGTGGTCTGGGGGAAACGAAGGAAGAGACGTACCCTGCAACTTCGAGTGGACTTCTGTCTGCTGCTCAGACTTCTGCAGCCATTACTCTTCATTGTAGCATAGCTATAGGAAGCAGCATGGAGAAGCTAAATGAGAGCATTGCAGAGGCACTTCTCAAAGAGGCATCAGTAATTTTGACAAAACCCAACACATACAAAAATGTAGGGCATTTTATGGAATCCATAAATGGAAAAATCATTGAAACAGCAGCAAGGCCACGGATTCCACACACTGATGAAGTAATCAGGGATGAACTTGCGCAAAACTTATCCAATATTATTCTACGACATTCTATTGAAGAGGTTAGGAAGAAGAGACAGCTACACCCCCGTTCAGAAAACGGCTCAAGTACACAAGACATTTTCATGGAGACTGCAAACGAGTTGCTTTTTAACGTAATATATTTCACTTGCAAGAAGATGAATGACATAAGACAAGTTGAAGAGTGTTCTCCTCTCTTTTCGGAAGGCACAAAAGCAGAGAAAGTAACAAGAGCAGAAGGATGGCCAACACAGGCAACGGCACGTGAAACTTCACACAGCCCCCTTGATCACTCTGCTGTTAAGCCGTTTGGTACATCCTACGGCCCTAGTGCTAGCAGAGATCTTGGAAATGTCACAAACACTACGAAAAGTAATATGAAAGATGTAAATAGCAAGGAAAGTGCCACGCTGAATTCAGAACCAACAAGTAGAGCTGCAGGGCATAACGCACTTGTCGCAAAAACGTCTCCCAAGAAAAGATACCTGAAAAGAACCGCACGAGACTGTTACAAATCCCCAAATAACAACCATCAGAAGAAGAAAGATTACAGATCATTTTCGGACAGGGAAAATACCTTTGCAAACAATGAATGCAGGCACGGTGTTCAAGAACAGCTGTCTTCCAGTGCCACCATGAATGCAGAAAAACAGGCCAAGCATAAGTGTGATGCTGTGCTAAATAATGATGTTCAGGTTAGCTTGTCGTTATTAGGAAATCGTGTCTTGCTTCCTTCTCAGCCTGTGGTACAGGTGAAACATTCAAGGGACAAATATTGTATAACAGATTTTGCAGAAGAATTGGCAGAAACAGTTGTCTCTATGGCAACAGAAATAGCTGCCATTTGTCTTGAAAATTCAAATGGAAAGCAACCCTGGTTCTGTGCATGGAAGAGAGGCAATGAATATCTGGTGACCCAGAGTTTATCATGCAGAACCATGAAAAGGAAAAAGGAAACCCACGCTAACGGTTCAGTTGTTCGGAAGCACAGGGCACCTAGACTTAGTGAGATCAAAAGAAAAACAGATGAGCATCCTGAGCTAAAGGAAAGGTTGATGAATCGGGTAGTAGATGAATCTATAAACCTTGAGGACACACCAGATTCAGTCAATATCTTTGCAAATGAAGTGGCTGCCAAGATCATGAACCTCACCGAACTCTCCATGGTTGATAGCATCTGGCAAGGTCCAAACCACCCCAGGAACAGGCTGCACTGTGACAGATGGAGCCGAGCCAAGGCCTCGAGCTGTGAGAGCATACCGGAGGAGGACTCGGATTCCAAAGCCTCTTTCAATACCCTAGGCCTAATGAACACCTTTGGTCAGCCTGTGAGCCAGACAAGTTCTGTCTCAAAGCAGTCTAGTTGTGAAAGCATTACAGATGAATTTTCGAGATTTATGGTGAACCAGATGGAAAATGAAGGAAGAGGGTTTGATTTATTACTGGATTACTATGCAGGAAAAAATGCAAACAACATCTTAACTTCTGCTTTGCAACAGGTAGCCAAGAAAAATGGTCATCTTAATGTAAGACCAAGTTGCCCATCCAAACAGTCCAGCACAGAAAGCATAACAGAAGAATTTTATAGGTATATGCTAAGAGAAATAGAAAAGGAAAATAAAGATAACATGTCTTCCCCTCGGAACTCAACAGACTGGTGCGGCAGTTTGCTACCACCCTCTCTACGATCACCTTTTTGCTTTAGGCAGTCGTCAGTGCCTGACAGCAGATCATCAGGCTCTAGGCTAACAGTTAACGTCCCGGTTAAGGCCAATTCATTAGATGGATTTGCTCACCATCACCAAGATTCCTTAAGTGTACAGCCGGTCAGTACCGTGGCTTCTTCAGGTCTTTGCAAGTCTGACTCATGCCTGTACCAAAGATGCAAGACTGACCAGATAACAGATATGTTGATTCACGAGACGTGGGCAAGTTCTATTGAATCTTTAATGCGCAAGAACAAAATCATAGCAGATGAGGCAGAGGCTGCAGAGGCAGACCAGTTTCACAGTGATTCCCCACCACATGTGGAACAATATGCAAACAGACTGGCTGCAAATATTGTTGAAAGCGGTAAAAATTTAATTGTTGTCCAGCAGGATTCTTTTGATTATACAAGCCGAGAACACATGCTGGAAAGCAAACATCCCCAAAGCGCAACTCAGATTCAGTCAAAACCCAAAAGGGATGGAGTAAATTTGGACGAGAAAAAAGAGCATATGAAGAGCCCTGGATGCCTCCCTGCAGGTCAGCACAGGGAAGTGCCTTTAATTCAGATAGAAACCGATCAACGAGATGAGCCAGATAAAGGCTCAGAGTCCTTAACTTCATGTGGCCCTTCTGGAAAGGAGCATCAAAGCAAAGAAAAGCCTCCAGAAGCTTTTGACGGGAAACACACGGTTTCCAGTTCCCTACTAAACAGGTAAGTGACAAAACAGCAAATCAGCACATTGCTTTGGTGTTTGTTCTTAATTTCCCAGGAAAAATTACTTCGATAAAGGAAGAAGATAAGAGAAGCACTTTTAAAGAAATAGACAGGTTAAGTTCTGACTACAGGTTTCTAATGGCATAAAAATCACCCAATCGTATATCACAGTGCCGATTTCTGGAGCAAATTACATTGACTATGACAATAGCATGGTTCTGAGATTCAAATCTAATACTGCACAGACAAGTAAGTTTTCCCTCTACAGATATTTAAGTCTTCCATAGTCAAGGCAGGAAAGATGGACGAAGTTTGAACTATCATTTAGCGCCGGCTGATATCTCAATTAAAAAAAATCAGAGTTAGTGTAAAACAGAAGATAGCAGAATTTGACTTGTAGTTCTCTACTATGCTTGTTCGTACAACTAATGCTTTGTGTACCTGGAAACAAGACCAGACTTCCGAGAGCTTGAAGTTCAGCTTTGTGTTTACAGTCTGGAGCTACAAGTAACAAAAATTCTTTAGTGGAGGAAATAAAATAGTAATTAAAAGCACCCCTCACCTCCTTTGGTTCAAGACTTCTCTGGTAGAATTTAGATACAGAAAAGAATAAAATTTCATTTTATTTTGATTTCATTTCACGGAGTTTATACCACCCTCTCCTTACAGCTGTACTCCTTTTGTTGAGAAATCTGCAACTTGCTTTGGTTTAGGCAAAGTGTAAGCCCAGTACGAGAGCGCAGTGCAAATGTCAAGGATTGCTGGGGATGCTATGAGGCTAAGAGCAAGGCTCTCTCTCAAGGCATTGCCTATTTCTAACTATACTTCTTCATCGTCTCTGTTACTTTAATGGTATGTAAAGTGCCAATCGCTTGGAGCATTGCAGCACTCCATTATCTCAGAGCGCTAGAAAGAGTGCAGGTGCTAGTGTTAGAAACCATTTTGTAGCTCCTTTTATTCTAGGCAGTGCTCTGTTTTGGCTTTTGACAAAGCGCTGCTTGAAGTGAGAAAGCATGTACTTTCCTGTGTATGGTAGCAATTAGATGGATAATTATCATAGTCCCTATTCTTTCATACTGACTCTCCCCCACTAACCTTCCTCTTCCTTCGAACGCAACCTGCTTTTAATAAGATGCATTTAGAAATCTACCTATTTGGAATCTTGACTGTCTGAAAATGAAGTTATTTTTGCACAGTTTATGAGCCCTTTAATAACAGCTTTTCCTCTGCCTTTGATGCAGAGTTCCCGAAGCGGCTATGGGAAGTTTAAAGCAATAGGATTGGTAGGGCAGAATTATTAACCAGAGGCTACATCTACAGGAGCATTTTGGTTCAGCGATGCAGTGCAATTCTGAATCAACTTGTCTCCATTTCCATGCAGCATGCAGTGCAGATTTCTTTTAAAGGAATCTCAACTAGGAGCTGCACAAGTGTGTACCAGACGTGCCTGTATCCCTACTGGGAAGGCAAAGCTTCCAGTGGTTCTTCACATGGATTTCAACTACTTACAGAATCATAGAATAGTTTGGGTTGGAAGGGACCTCTAAAGGTCACCTAGTCCAACCCCGCTGCCGTGGGCAGGGACATCTTCAACTAGATCAGGTTGCTCAGAGCCCCGTCCAACCTGACCTGGAATGTTTCCAGGGATGGGGCATCCACCACCTCTCTGGGCAACCTGCGCCAGTGCTTCACCACCCTCAGCGTAAAAAGATTTCTTCCTTATATCTAGTCTAAATCTACCCCCCCTTTAGTTGAAAGCCATTCCCCCTTGTCCTGT